ACTGTTTCCTAAATTTTAACTATCAATTTTCCACTATGAATATTATAAAGCATCCAACTTTTAAATAATTTCAGTGTATAAAATGTCAACTAAATGTTGTAAGACAAATTTATTTTAGTTTTTATTTAATTTTATTTTCTTAACAAAAACTTAGTTTTTATTTTTTTATAAGATTTTATTTATTTGACACCGAGAGAGACCACAAGCAGGGGAGCAGCAGAAGGAGAAGCCTGCTCTCCGCTGAGCAGGGATTCCGATGTGGGGCTGGATCCCAGGACTGTGGGATCATGACCTGAGCTGAAGGCAGATGCTTAACAGACTGAGCCACCCAGGCATTCTGGAAATTTAGGGTTTTTTTTGTTTTGTTTTGTTTTGTTGTTTTTTTTTTAAAGATTTTATTTATTTCTTTGACACAGAGACAGATCACAAGTAGGCAGAGAGGCAGGCAGAGAGAGAGGGAGAAGCAGGCTCCCCGCTGAGCAGAGAGCCTGACGTGGGGCTCCATCCCAGGACCCCGAGATCATGACCCGAGCTGAAGGCAGAGGCTTAAACCACTGAGCCACCCAGGCGCCCCTGGAAATTTAGTTTTTTAATGATTATTTTACCCACCCTCCTCTAGATCCCACCTTAGATTCCTTACCACAGCAGTTCACAATCCTCTCCAACCCAAGGCCTCTTTGTAAAACAAATATTCTGTAACATCCCCTTTACCACTCTGAAAATGAATCCAGGTATATATATATATATATCATATATATATATATATATATCATATATATATATATAAATGAATCCAGGTATATATATATATATATGATATATATATCATATATATATGATATTCCTTACTGTATAATAATGGGGAAATAAGTAATTTATAAAAAATAAAACATATTTAAATAAGTAAATGCTCAGCCACGCTGTCATAATAAAGGAGGTAGGAGCTTGAAGCTCCATGGATGTAGTCAATCCACCACCAGGTAGCTGGTTTCCACCTTTGTCCTCCATCCAAAAAGTATGTCAGAACCATATATTCAAATGAACCATTACGTCGCTTCTAGGAACGTGTTCGCTGAGTGGTGTGCCCCCTAGTGGTAGAACTACAGAGGACAACTGCCACTGAGCTACTGAACGCCACTGGTGTTTCTCTCCCTGAGATCCTCTCAGATCCCCTACTGCCTCACTACTAACCTGCACTAGAAGTAATGGCATCCCTCAGAAGCTTGTGAAAATACAGATTATCCAGTCCTACCTCAGAACTACTGAATTCAAATCTATATTTTAATGAAATCCCCACATTATATGTATGTAAATGAAAGGCTGAGAAGCCACTGGGCCTCCCTGAGGGACATAACAAAGGGTAAGCAAAGTGCACATAATTTTTTTTAAATGGTGATTTCAAAACCTATTCTGAAATAAAAAACATATTTGAAAACTTCTAACAATGTTTTGTATCTAAATCGATGAAAAACATTTGCCATATTCACGAATATACTAAGTAAGTAAATATTCATTAACTCAAAGCCAGGATCTAGGGCCAATTGATAGTCATTCACTCAATGAACACGAAGGGTTCATGTGTAAAGCACTGTGCTAAAACCTAGGAGGGAAGAAAGAAGTCATAAAACAGGTCAAAGTTACTGTACTTAAAGATTAAAACTCCTTAAAAGAAGACAATGTAACATACTTTTGTATCTGTCAAACACAATTCTAAGATCTATGGAGTTGTAAATTAATTGAACCAAAGCTTCTCTTTTTGAGGCTACCAGTTCCTGAATGATACTGACAAAACAAATTACAAATAATGATTTAAACTGAAATTATATTCCTTATCAGTAGCGGCATTTCACCGTCCAGCTCAAACTGCTAGAAGAATCATTCTGGTAAGAAAAGAGAGAGATGTGGAGAGAAAAAGAGAGAGATAGACAGGGACCCAGAGAAAAAAGGAAGGGAAGAGGGCCTGGGAGAGGGGACAAAAAAGCAGGACAAAAAAACAGACCTAAAACAGATGTCCATCCACAGATGACTGGATAAAGAAGATAAAGAAGATGTGGTTTAGCTACAATAAAACAAGCTTAACTGAAATGATTTAAACAGTAACAAAAGATAATGGGCAAAGAAAGCAGACATACCAACAGAACAAGAGAGCTAACTACTCTCTCAGGTAGGAATTGGCTAACATTTCCTGAACAGTCAGAGAGCAAATATTTTAGGCTGTTAAGAACCATATAGTCCCTTATAAACTACTCAGCCCTGGAGCTGGAGCTGAAAAGAGCCAAAGACGCTAAGTAAATGAATAGGTATGGCCGTGTTCCAGGAAATCTTCATTTACAAAAAATAATAATAAATAAATAAATAAAAATTAAAAAATAAAAAAATGTGGCAAGCCAGATTTAGCCTGGGGACATAGTCTGCTGATGCCATGGTCTAGGGGAAAGAATCCGGTGGGTTCATAGAGGCACATATAGCAAATTGTTATAGAATCTACATCTAAAAATAATAAAACAAATGCTCTTTTTTGCTTATGATAAGGAAAACTGAATTATTCTTGAAGAGAAAGTATTTTTCAAATAAAAGCTTTTACAACTTATAACCAATCCCATTTTCTAGGCATAACTACTAAATCTAATGTTAAATTCTAACTTCTTCCCTGACTAGAGTAATTCCTGTACACAAAAGGGGATACTTGTTTGACTTATATGAGATTGGGAGAAGAAGGACATACTTACCGGATGCTTTGAGTCATTAAGATACACAATTATTAGTAATGGCAGCCAAAGCCACCAGGCAAAAGAGAAGAAGGGGGGAAAAAAAAAGTACTATGTCTTGCTTCCCCACAATGGATCAGATTCTATTGTTCATCCAGGCTAATACTTTGTCAACAGAAGAAGAGTTGAAAGATAATATTGAAAGAGATATATTTGTTCTCATCACCGCCTTCTTCAAAGATTAGAGAGATGATTCCAGCTTCCTCACAAAGATGAATTAGTCATTCATAAACTTGTTGGATTTATTTTTCACATCTACAACTTCCTGATGAAATGCATTCCACAACTTCATAATCTATTACGTGATCCAGTATTTCAGTATTTCCTTTTATTCTTCCTAAACCATCTTTCTAAACTCCAAAGGAAACTATCTCATGCATCTATCTAGTTTTTGCAGAATGCATCTATGTCCCCAGTATCCATTTTACTTAGTCATTCATTCTTTCATTGAAAATCCTACCTCCGCTGGTAATCATTTATTTTTTTCATCCAAATTCATATACCACAACCGTTGTTGTTGCCATTTTACAGGCTTTGTTGATTTCTTAAGTCCTTGTGTAGCAGACACTGCCACTGTCCCAACTCACACGGCCTCATCATTTCACCAGTCCCTACACAGCACTGTCTTCTTACCATATTTGTAATACTCTGCCTGAGTGCTTTCTCTGGCCATAAGAACACGCTTGGCCAGTGAGTTCCAAAGAGTTAACACCCTCTAGAACAACCCTAAACCAGTAACAAAGAAGAGATAGGGATAAATACCCAAATCTCCTTGCCCATCAGGTAGGATAAGGCTGAGGCCATTCTACCCTGTCTCCCAGGTGTCTAAATAGAATTGAGACACATTGGCTATAAGAAATAACCTGTTCTTTTTTTTTTTTTTTTTAATTTTTTCTTTTTAAGATTTTATTTGTCAGAGAGAGAGAGAGAGAGAGAGAGAGAGATCACAAGTAGGCCGAGAGGCAGGCAGAGGCAGAGGGAGAAGCAGGTTCCCTGCTGAGCAAGGAGCCCGATGCGGGACTCGATCCCAGGACTCTGGGATCATGACCTGAGCCGAAGGCAGCCGCTTAACCAACTGAGCCACCCAGGCGTCCCGAAATAACCTGTTCTTGAATGTGCCTAGGATTGTGTTTTTTCTCTTAACTAGACCATTGCTTGCTCCCCTACAGGTCATGCCTGGGATTGCCTTCCAAATATTTTGTCTGCTTAAGGTGGACCTCAATTGAAGATGGTCCTCTAAAATTAAAATTTTGGGGTTCCTGAGATTTTACACTGAGACATGTTCATAGTATTTCAGCCGCGAAACCACCATTGTTTTACCCAAAGACAGAATTACATTGTTTCACTTTTGCTAGTTTTCAAAAGAACTAGCAAAGTTCTCATAAGACACAGCAATTCATCCGGATGACATTTGAGGCACTATATAAAGTGATTTCCAATTATCCTACCTGTGACAAATGAGTGCTCAGAACCCACCATCCTATGAGTATAATTTTAGATTTGATTTTCCACAAATGCATGACTCTGTACTTATTCACATAGAAATTTATTGGCCACTTCTGGGTGACAGAAATAGTATAAATCAGATTTTTTTTTAATTTGCAATTCAAATAGGAATATGGTATAGAAAAATAATCTTCCCATGAAAATGTTTCATTCTCCCCTTCCAAAGGTAGGAAATATAGGTCCATAAATACTATTTATAAAAGTCCAACATTTTGAACATGAAGAAGTCCATAGAATTGATCCCAAGTAGTAATAACAGAGTTGGCCCATGAACACAGCAAATTCATGAAATCCTTTCGTCTGGATCTACCTGCTTGGAAAACTACCTCATCCTTCAGCCCGAGGTGGACATCAGTAACATTCCCCATTCTCTTACCCCCCCCCACTTTTGCTAGTTCCTTCAATGCAACCTCTCTAAAATGTCTTAAAACCATCTCTTCTTCATTCCCATTGCTCTTACCCCAGTCTGTCTATCCTATGCCAACAGCCTTCTATATAAATCTTCTGTTTGATTTCTTTATCCTGGAAAATCAGAATAAACCTAAGATTGTTCAAACTTCTAGAAGCTCAAGTCCTGAACATCACTTCCCGCATTTATATAAAACACACAGACATTCACATTACATTTAGACAACTCGTTGCCTCAACATTTCATGTATTTTTATTTCTGTTTGGAATGAAGGTTATAAAAATAATGTTTACCTAAAGATTAAACAAAATGTTTACCTGTCTGAAGCTATGTCACTGGTAATTTGGTGCTTCACTCCTGACCCATTTTTAATAGAATCCTGTCTTGTGAGCCCATGAGAGCGACTTTTCTCCACTGCAGGTACAGATAAGTCACCTGAGGGTCCTTGGAACTGGGCCTGCTCATGCACTTTTGCTTTCTTCTCCTGAGGTGCCTCCTCATTCCGCAGTCCTCGGAGAACCTTCTGATCAGGTTGCTGTGATGTGTTAGATCCACTATTATAAAACCATGCTCCTGATTTAGTGAGGATTTCTTGTTGTTTTCGGCACAAATTACATACCCACATAACCTGCACATGAATACACAGGGAAGAAAAATTAGTGGTTCCAAAAGTTAAACACAAGTCAAAAGAGAAGACAGTTCAAACCAACAACAAAAAAATCAAATGGTTATCCTTCCTGAAATTAAAATATAATCCAGATTAACTGCTACCATTAATTATATCACATATCTTTTCATTTTGTCAACACAATTATAATGAAACAGGCAATGTTAACTGACAGCAGAAATACCAAACGAGAGTCCCAAATTACTGGTTGTTTACGTGTATTCTTTAATTGCTTTTTATTTAAATTAGCGGCATGGTGTAATATAGGGAAAATGGATTTTGAGGCTAGACAGACTTGGGTTTAAATACTAACTCCAATATTAGAAACTGTAACCTTGAACAAGGTGCTGAACCTTCATATCTATTGAGGTTTCCTTAGTGATAAAATAAGGAAATAGGGATGATAATACTTTTTTCTATATTGTTTTGAGAATTAAAGATTGGAAATAATTTATATAAAATGTCTAGCACAATGCTCATTAGATATTAGACTTTTGGAGATTACCTAATAATATTATGTTAATCTTCTGTCACCAAATAATTATATTATAAGCTTCTTGAAGGGGTATTTATTCCTTTTAAGTAGCTCTTAATGGCTAAAATAAAGCTAGGAACATTTTTTTTTTTTTTAAAGATTTTATTTATTTATTTGACAGAGAGAAATCACAAGCAGGCAGAGAGGCAGGCAGAGAGAGAGAGGAGGAAGCAGGCTCCCTGCCGAGCAGAAAGCCCGATGTGGGGCTCGAACCCAGGACCTGGGATCATGACCCGAGCCGAAGGCAGCGGCTTAACCCACTGAGCCACCCAGGCGCCCCTTTTTTTTTTTTTTTTGACAGAGATCACAAGTAGTCAGAGAGGCAGGCAGAGGGAGGAGGAAGCAGGCTCCCTGCTAAGCAGAGAGCCCGACGTGGGGTTCGATCCCAGAACCCTGGGATCAGGACCTGAGCCGAAAGCAGAGGCTTTAACCTACTGAGCCACCCAGGCGCCCCAGCTAGGAACATTTTTGATCTTCAACATAAACTTATTAGTTGCTCATAATTTATAGAAGAATACTTGTTTGTTTTTTTACATTTTGTGATTTAAAAAATTTACCACTTTAACCATTTTTTTAAATATTTTATTTATTTATTTGACAGAGAGAGAGATCACAAGTAGTCAGAGAGGCAGACAGAGAGAAAGTGGGGGAAGCAGGCTCCCCGCTGAGCAGAGAGCCCCATGCGGGGCTCAATCCCAGGACCCTGAGATCATGACCTGAGCCGAAGGCAGAGGCTTAACCCACTGAGCCACCCAGGCGCCCCACCACTTTAACCATTTTTAAGTGCACAGTTCAAAAGTATATTCACAGAGCAGTGAAACACACCTTCAAAACTTGTTCATCTTGCAGAGCTCAAAATCGATACTCATTAAACAGAAAATCCCCTTTCTCCCTCCCCACTGCCACGTAACAATCGTCCTACACTTGATTTTTTAGTAGATACGTTTTTCAGACTCCAGGAATCTAAGAATATCTTAACTACTATCTTTGTCACCAGAAAACCTTCACTTTCTTCTAAGAAATCTTTTTCAATGTATCAGGAAAAATAAAATTATCTATTCATGAAATAAAAGGTGAGTTCAGGTTTCAAGTGAGGGTTTTCTGACTTTTATGTCAAATACTGAAACTTAAGTCAAATACTGAAACAGCTCTCAATATTGCCAACACTTCCTCATAGTTTAAATAAGTTATAACAATAATAAATACATAACCACTGTAAAAGGAAGATTTATTATGGTATTTTCAACTGATGCAAAGATTTTTTTTATAAAATGCCATTTAAAATTTTTGCTTTATTGTCCTCATTCTCATTCATATTGTTTGTATAATTCATATCATACAACACTGTTTAATATTATATTACTTTGTTATCTCTTTGAACTGTATATACATTTCTTCCCCACCCCACTAAATTCAAAGCTCACTGGGGACAGGATTTACACAGTCTATTTGCATAAAGAAATGCTATCAATCACAGGATAGTAAGACCTTCTAAATGCTTACTAACATGAATTCTTTTGAAATCCTTTCTGGGGAAAGATGATAAGATACTGGATATTATTACACTAAGATTTATGTTTCACTGATTTCCAAAAGAATTAGTCAGCAATAATGTCAACATATGTGTCTTATATTATTTTTATAAGTAAATAAGAAAGCATTTTTGATATGATAATACCAAAATCTCACAAAAAAAACAAAAAAACAAAAAAAAATACCTCAGGGTACAAATGTCTTTTGGTTTGAATACTCTGAAATAGCTAGCTCGCTCAAAAATGAAGTTTCAACCAAAATCTTCAGTCTTTTGGTGCCATCTTGTGACAAATGTTGGTATTGCAGATCTCTCTTAAATGTGAAAAGTAAACTAAATATAGAGCCACAAAATAATGTTAAAATACATCTGAATTTCAACTTTTCTGTTTTATTTTAAGCAGATTACTATTCATATTACAGTGATAATATAAGCTATATGATTTCACGATATGACTTCACCTAGAATAAGTCAGAGTACTGACTTTTGTGCCTGGTAACTAACAATAAAACAGAAGTGAGTTTGTGAGACAGACAAGTATCCAGTCACAGTCATTTGCAGAAACAACCTATTGCTGTTTCATTATTTGTCACAAGGTAAGCAAGTTCCTATCCCTGGGACAATGGATCCCTACCACCTGGGAACTTGTTTGAAGTGCAAATTCTCAGGTCCCATTCCAGAACTACTGAATCAGAAATTCTGGGGCAGGACCCAAAAATCTGGGATTTTTTTGGCCACATGCTATAAGTGATTCTGATGCCAGATAAAGTTAGAGAACCCCTGGTTGAAGCAGAGATTCCCAACTGGATATGAGGGATGAGTTACATGTGTGTTCCTCAGTGAGTGCAGAAGGCCACGTGTAGCCTCGCCGATTTACCTCAACATGAACTATTCATCAAACAAATGGTAATAGTAACATTTCTGTGTAACCCAAAATGAGAAAAAGACTTGGAAGAACTCATCTGTTCCTCATCTGTTAACACCCAGGGGATATTAATATGAGATAAATGAGTATAAGGCTTGAAGGATGCTGTTCGGTTCCTATTAAAGACTCTCTCCGTATTAATTCTCTCCCCATACTCTCTGGGATACCCACAATGGCGGCTACTTTTCTGACTAGACGCTCTGTTCCGTCCTCTACTTCCGGTTCTTAGTATCCTCATATTCCAACACCTAATTCACTCTCCTTTCCTTCTTCTACTACCTCCTCCCATTCATGGATTCCTAGTTTGTTAATCTTTAAACCTCAGGTAACAAATCCACTCACTTGAAGTAGTAAAGAGACTGACGCTTTTACTCAAAGTCCTCCAAACAGAGCAACTTAACCTCTCAACTGAGGGTACTGCACTCCATCTCACACACACATGCACATGAGTCCGTAGGAGATGACTTTTAACTGCTTAGGAAATTATTAATGTCTACCAGAGGTAAGGTGTGTGTCCATGAAATGAAATTAAACTGATATGGGAACAAAATCACAGGGCTTCTGTTAATGAAACCCTTTAACCAATTAAGTTAATCAGCAAGTGTACCATATGATGAAAGCTGTTTTAGTAAAAGTCGAGCAGAGAAAGACAATTATCATATGGTTTCACTTATTTGTGGAACATAAGGAATAGCATGGATGAGGTTAGGGGAAGGAAGGGAAAAATGAAGGGAGAGAAATCGGAGTGGAAGGTGAACCATGGGAGACTAAGGACTCGGGGAAACAAACTGAGGGTTTTAGAGGGGAGAGGGGTGGGGGGATGGGTGAGCCTGGTGATGGGTATTAAGGAGGGCACGGATTGCATGGAGCACTGGGTGTTATACGCAAACAATGAATCATGAAACCCTACATCGAAAACTAATGATGTACTGTATGGGGACTAACATAGCACAATAAAAAAATATCTTAGTAACATATATGCCTATGAACAGCCATGGTTAGGGCCTATTACTTTTGCTGATCTTCATGAATATCAAAAACACCGAGGCCCTGAGAATACAAAGACATACAGGATTCAAAATTCTAAGGTATTATTACCTCCATTTCTAAATATGCCGTATTTTTCAATGTAATATAACAGTATTAAGAGACAGAATACTCTCTAACGACCCAAATTTGCCGCTTCTTATCATACGTTTCATTCTACAAACAACCTTGGTGGGTTTGAAAAGAAGAGGAAAAAAACTAAGGAAAATAGAAATATTTCTTTAAAATTATATAAATAATAAATGCAACAGCTACGCTAAATAGCCGAGGAAAAGAAAAACAAAATTATGTCCAGTGCATACAGTAATTTGAAAGAACTTAAAGGTCTGCAAAACTAATTTTCATCTCAATAGGGATAATAAATAGAGTAATTCAGAAAAGCAAAGGATCACTGGTTAGACCATAGACCAAGCTCGTAAGATGCAGCTAATGCCGTACACATAAAACAATTTACTGGATTCCACTTCTAATCATTGCCAGCCTGCTTATAAATGCGTGCATTAGCGAATATAATTAGAGAATATAAATTGATCAGCTTAATCTGTCATATGACTGAAAACTGAAAGATCCTGGCTAACTATTAAATTAATTTCCTTTTTCCTCTAGGACGCTGCATTTCTCAACCTCCCTTATACTTAGGGACGCCCACGGCCATGTGACTATGTCCTGGCTATTTGATTGTAAGTGCAATGATGTGTGCCATTCCCCCAACCATTAAAAAACTCTCATATATGCAGTGTCTAGGTGGCTCAGTCAGTTAAGTGTCTGCCTTTGGCTCAGATCATGATCTCAGGGTCCTGGGATCAAGCCCTGCACTGGGCTCCCCGTTCAGTGAGGAGACTGCTTCTCCCTCTCCCTCTGCCTGGGGCTCCGCCTACTTGTGCCCTCTCTCTCTCTCTCTCTGTCAAATAAATAAATAAAAT